TGAACCGCTACAAATTGAAGAGTATTTCAAAAGTATATATGTATTTCCATCATTTTTACGTTGTCGATTTTCTAGATAAGTTCATAATGCAAATAACCATTGTGAAACTGAGACACCCATCTGCCGATTCACTCACCTGCATACAGAACTTATTTACCGTCTGTTACACCGGAAACTAGGAGATTTGTTTTTATTTGTCCATTTTTTTCGTTGAATACAGTGAGCATTTCAGAGCTGTGAGCTGTCGTACAGCTTTTTATATGTAAAGCAATGCAAAACATTTGTTTAGTTCAAACAAGTGAAACATTGGACATTATAATTTGGCTGGTTCTTTTATTTACCCTTTAAGTGAAACCTCTCTAAAGAGCTGTGTGTTTAAACCTGTAGCGTGTCAAGGAAGCAGTACTTGCAGTGATATTTCGTGTTGTCGGTATCGTGTAACTCTTCGAGAGGGGGCACATAAGCTGCGGAGCTCCGGTGGCAAGCGCTGGCCTAGCGGTGAGGAGGAGCTGGTGTTAGACAGGCAGGTGCAGTACTCTTCAGGCCTGGAGTCCTCTAGACCGGACGGCTTCGACTACGTACAGCAGCTGAGGAGTGACGAGGGGGGACAGATCCGGATCCAGGTGGATCTGGGGCTGTTGTCCAGAACCCTTTGGCCTTATGACTTTTGGACCTTGACTGAAAAGGAGCTGGACTTTGTGAAATAGAGATGATGGCTGTCCTCTATTTTTAACATTTAAGGAGTCCTTAATTGGTTAGGGAAGGTGAATGAGAATGGTTAATCAGAGGCCTTTATTTAGCAAAGATTTCTCATTTAAGGGACTCCAAATTGCAGGGTCTTGCTCAAACATCCCTAACATGACTTCCTAAAATTGCCGAAGTGGGATTTCACATAGAAGGTATTCATTTCCATTAATTGGCTTTCTTTCTTTTTTTCCCCTCTTTATTTCCCGTCAAGCATGTGGTTCCCATTGAAAAACATCCGCATATATTTGCCTTTTTGTGTTGAACACAGAAGATATGTAATGAGATTTATGTGACTCAAAACATTTGTTTAGTTCAAACAAGTGAAACATTGGACATTATAATTTGGCTGGTTCTTTTATTTACCCTTTAAGTGAAACCTCTCTAAAGAGCTGTGTGTTTAAACCTGTAGCGTGTCAAGGAAGCAGTACTTGCAGTGATATTTCGTGTTGTCGGTATCGTGTAACTCTTCGAGAGGGGGCACATAAGCTGCGGAGCTCCGGTGGCAAGCGCTGGCCTAGCGGTGAGGAGGAGCTGGTGTTAGACAGGCAGGTGCAGTACTCTTCAGGCCTGGAGTCCTCTAGACCGGACGGCTTCGACTACGTACAGCAGCTGAGGAGTGACGAGGGGGGACAGATCCGGATCCAGGTGGATCTGGGGCTGTTGTCCAGAACCCTTTGGCCTTATGACTTTTGGACCTTGACTGAAAAGGAACTGGACTTTATCATTAAATAGAGATGATGGCTGTCCTCTATTTTTAACATTTAAGGAGTCCTTAATTGGTTAGGGAAGGTGAATGAGAATGGTTAATCAGAGGCCTTTATTTAGCAAAGATTTCTCATTTAAGGGACTCCAAATCGCAGGGTCTGGCTCAAACATCCCTAACATGACTTCCTAAAATTGCCGAAGTGGGATTTCACATAGAAGGTATTCATTTCCATTAATTGGCTTTCTTTCTTTTTTTCCCCTCTTTATTTCCCGTCAAGCATGTGGTTCCCATTGAAAAACATCCGCATATATTTGCCTTTTTGTGTTGAACACAGAAGATATGTAATGAGATTTATGTGACTGCCTTTTTTCTCTTGAATTATGCTGTGAATTTTACACCAATTACTTTTTCTTCTTTATTACCGTCTTTCTTTCTTTCTTTCTTTTGATATACCAAAGCAGTTGTTTTTATAGCACTAGGTGTCTGTAAGAAATAATGTAGCAGTTCACCACTTCAGCCCAAGGTTCATTAAAGTCGATTTTAGTCTGTACACTCGATCTCAAACTGGAACTTTAGCTGAACTTCATGTTTTAATTGTAACGAAAACTGAAATTGGTTTAATATATGGATAAACCTCCCCGATTTGTTTTTCCTGTAAAAGGGAGGGAAGGGACAGTTACTCTGCAGGCTACAGAGTAGCTGAGAGATCACAAATGATTCTGAGGAGAGAAAAGTGTTTTGTATTTACCTGGTCTATCAGTCAGTGATGCTGCCTTTTATACCTAATTTGATGAACATGCTAATTTCTACCTTTTTAAATCTAAGTGGCTACTTAAATGTATTTATTCAGGCAGTCTACTGTAGCTACTATGACCTCTGAGTCTGAGTTGAGTTTATCATCAAGTGATTGGTTGGATGTTTGCCTCAGATGTGCTATTCAAAGGGAAACTAGAGGTTACGCGCTGCCTTACAGACACTGGGCACATGCATGTTGGTCTGAAGAGGAAGTGTTTATAGTCACAATTCAGTCACTTTAAGGATAGCTGTGCTCACTCGAGGTTGCGAGACCCCACCACCACCTACCTTCTCACTTTAGGTCTCAGTTCTTCAAAGGAACCCTGTTTGCGGCTTCTCTCGATCTAGCAGTTCTTCACAGACTGTGGGACACTACCCTGCCAGAAAGTGCGTGGTGTTCACATTTGTAGATTTTCCTTTCGCAAAGATATCACTTTCAGCCAGAATCATGTTTGGTATAACTACAAATCTCACAACGGCTAGTGGTAATCGGAAAAACAAAGGTTTACCTGAATGTTAGCTTGATTTCAAAATGTTGTTTATATATATATATATATAAACATTCGAGTGCAGTTTGCTGACGTTGACACAAACATTACAAAAATTCAAAATCTAAAAATTTCAGAAACTTAAAGTGCAACTGTTTCAGCTGTCACTAAATGAGACCTGATTTAGTGCAGTTGTCGTGAAATGCAGCCCCTTTTTAATAGTTGAAATAGAATTTATGTATATATTTATATTTTTTTAAATAAAGGAAGTATAGAACTCACTACATTGCTCCTGCTGGTATGTCAATTACATTGCCATGTGTTTGCTTACCATTTTATTTTGTTATTTTTTTAAACCCCTTCTTGTTTTACTTGATCATTGGACCAAATAGCTTTTAGTAAGAGGTATTTGCCATCACCAGGACAACATTAAAGGTAGGGCTTATAACTTGTACCGAAAGAATCTTTTCACAGGGTATGACGCATGTATGTCCACACTTTTTCTAGTGCTCATGGTTTGCTGGGTCTGTTTCTCCCCCTTTCTCTTAAATGCATTCTAGGTAAATGTCACTGATACACAAGATCATGGATTTTAATTCAACATTCTTCTGCCTTTTGGATTGATTTTTATGTTTCTTTTCAGATTTTCTTGACCCTTTTCATGCAACATGCACTATATAATTGAACAGCATGGGGAAAGGATAAGTGTCCACAGATTGTAAGATCGTCAAGACTTTGCTGTGTATATGAAAATGCCCTTTGTATTATATTCAAACAGTCTTATGTATGATATATAAAAAATAACCTAATTGACGCGTTCTTGGCTTTTTTTCTTCTTGTATTCCCTGGCTTGTTGCTTCAACACTGATCGGTCTAATTTAGAGGACTGTCTGTAACCAGCAACGTTAGTTCTCACATTATTCCCTGGCTTGTTGCTTCAACACTACATCGGTCTAATTTAGAGGACTGTCTGTAACCAGCAACGTTAGTTCTCACAAGAACTTTACAAACGTGTTAAGTTCGGTTGTTTTGTAGATTATCGAATAATAAATATAAATGAATTAAAGGTTCCCTTAAGTAAATCTACGAAAAGTTCGATAGAAATGAGAAGATTAGCTTTTAGCAGTGGTAATGTGTACAGTAACGGTTTATGAGGCGCTATATGCGCAGTAAGGTGCGCGGCTCGGTCTAGGGGTATGATTCTCGCTTCGGGTGCGAGAGGTCCCGGGTTCAAATCCCGGACGAGCCCAAGCTTTTCTTTACAGAATTTATATATTTAAAACTCACATCGTTCAATGTAAGTCTTCCATGCTGAATTCTGGACATAATATGTACAAATACACACTGATTACTAGGTATACGAAAAAATGCAAGCAACGAACAGTGCGCATTGCAGGGATTTTTTTTTTGTAAAACTCAGTAATCTGTGATTTTAACATTTAATATTATATTATACTTTAACGACTCTACGCGTGTTATATAGCTGTTTGACTCGTTTTTATTCCTAGACATTGCTAATATTTGGAACAAAGAATCGGTTCTTTCGAACAATTCGTTTCCAAGAATCGGCTCAAATTCAGTGATTCTTCACGTCATGACGTAGTAATGAAATAGCGCGGTCCTGCCACCCCTGCATATTTAAAGAGCCTTTTTGACAGCTCATGTTTAATAAAACTGAGGTATTTAAATTCTAACAATGATTTTAGAACGTTTTGATTACATATGTTAGATTGTTGTTTTGAAGGCCATAGCGTTGTAGGCTTCTCTAAATACAATTAACGCTGTTCTCGACGAACACACATTGCCATACTGGTAACATCATGTTTCGCCAAAGGTAGATAAAATGTGGGATAATTTAGGGAGAAAATAAATTTACCCGTAGACAAAAGCATCACAAATAATCTGAAACCTGCGCAGAGACACCAGTTGCTACTGCCAGTGCCAACATAGCTGATGCCACAAAAATATTACAACAAACTTGTGCAGATTGCAGGACGGTAAGGTGCGCGGCTCGTTGGTCTAGGGGTATGATTCTCGCTTCGGGTGCGAGAGGTCCCGGGTTCAAATCCCGGACGAGCCCAAGCTTTTCTTTACAGAATTTATATATTTAAAACTCACATCGTTCAATGTAAGTCTTCCATGCTGAATTCTGGACATAATATGTACAAATACACACTGATTACTAGG